CACCACCCCAGCTCTCCACCCCTGTCCATCTGTGTCCCCCAGGCTCCCATCTCTTGTCTGGACCCTCGGAACAAGCTGGTGGGCTACGGCTGTGCAGCATTTGTGCTGACCGCCAGGCTGGGGGGGGGGGGGGGGACCTTCTGAAGCTGGGCAGCTGCCAGGCCAGAAATGATGGGAAGCCTGGGCCCTGCCCAGTCTCAGCCCTCCCACCCCACCCTCACACAGAAGGCTCTCGTCTAAGGAGGCCAAGGAGGCCAGGAGAGGGGGGATCACCTGGGACCACTCCAGGAGGCCAGGGACAGGTGTGGTCAGCCTGCAGCTTTGCTTCGCAGTTGAGGAGGGAAGGGGGTGCTGCCCCCAGAGGGGCCTGTCAATGAGTGCCCACCCAAGCCCTGCGAGAGATGTGTCCTCGGCCACCCACCTCCCCCATGGGTAAATAGGAAAGTTCCCAGACACTGGCCCAGTGAGAAGAGAAGCACCGTCTCTTCCAGCCCCAGAGCAGAGGAACACCCTCACCCCACTCCCGAGTCACCCCCTCTCCCTTTGCGGGGAATGACTGTTGGTGGACTGCTGAGACGGGCCACAGACCACGAGAGACCCATCTGTTTCCAATCAGGAGAGCAGGTTTCCAGATCAGAGATGGCAGGCGCACCCCAGCACCCTCCCTGGAGCGCTGTCCCCGTCCTAGGGCTCCTTCCCCCCAGGGGGGCCTCACACACAGCCACTGGAAAGTGAGGTGAAGCAGGGGAACCTTAAGGGCAGTCTGACCACAGACCCAAACCTCCATCTGTAGCCAGATATCTAGCCCACGGAGGAGAGACTGGAGAGAGAATTGGGGGACGGGGGTCTTCCCTGGTGGCTCAGCAGGTTAAACCACAACAATGCAAGCTGACTGCAGCCTCTTCAGTGCCAGGCTGGAGCTGACCCACAAGGCCTGCAGACCTCTCCTGACCTGCCTGCTGCTCCCCTCAGCTGTGTGCTTCATCAGTCTGCCTGTTCTGCTCCCCACTCTGTCTCTGGTGAATCCTCTCACCACCCCTGCATCTCCGGCCTATACCCCAGTTCTGGATGCATAAATAAATAAATCTTTAAACAAAAAAGAAGAAGAAAAAGAAGGAGAGAGAGACTGGTAGGGGCAGAAAAGCCTGCAGAGATCAATGGAAGGTCCTAGAAATCAGGCCCCAGCTGGAACTCCTTCCAACTGGTAAACAGGTCCTGGGAAGGAAGTCTAGTAGAACACGCCAGCCCTGGCCACACATCAGCCCACACACGGACCTTTATGAGAACTCCCTAGACAGGATCTGCCATCCCCAACAGACAGATGGGAAATGGAGGTACACGGCGAAAGTCTTATCTATCCAGCCTCACCCAGGTAGCAAGCAGCTAGGTCTGCCTGATTTCACACTCGGAGGCCCAAGCTACACTCTATGAAGGTCCGGCTACCTCAGGTGGACACGGATTGAGCGCTGGAATGGTGGGGGACAGCAGACAGGACCTAGAACCACGCTTTTGCCTCCCCTGCGGCCTCCGTGCCTTAACCAGACAGGAGCCTGATTCTGGAGACACTGAGCCCCCTGACCGGAGCCTCTCTGGCTTCCCCACCTCTGTCTGCAGGCCCAGGAGGAAAGACACAGGCCTAGAAAAACAGCCTCCTTGCTCATGGCTTGGTGCCCGGCTCTGACTGGCTCTGGATGACCCCAGCATCTGGACCCCAACTTCCCCAGTGATACCATGAATTAGGTTGTCTAAAACTGGGTTCGACAGTGATTGTGTCTCTCCGACCTTCCATTCCCACCATCCAGAACAAACCTAGAGGCTTCGCCTTAGCTTGGGTGGTCTTTTGGAAAAAGGTTCAGACCCCAATTGCAAAATTTAGAGTTGACAAGAAGGGCCAAGGGAAGGAGGGACCCGGTCAGCCGCGGAAGCCGCTAATCTCATCCCTCCCTGGGGGACTCGACTGCCGACTGCCCGCCTCCTCTGAAAGCAATTTGTCATGCCCTGAATTAAGTGATTCCAACAAGGGTTTAATTTCAGTTTAATGGCTCTGTTTTTATGTGTAATTAAATACCATTGCATGGCGGAAATATGCTGTTTGCACTTCAGAGACTGTGTAAGGGCCCGGGAAGCCAATCCCACAGGCTGTCTACTCCCAGGCTCTGCCAGCCCCTCCCCTAGTCTGCCTGGAACCGTCCAGGTCATAGAGAAGGGAGCTGGGGAAGTTGGGGGGAGAGAAGAGTTGGTCCCGGGGGCCCCTACTCAGAAGAGTATGTTTCCAATTATCCACAGCATCACCTCTTCTACACTTGACCTTCCCGCCCCCCGGAGCCTCAGACATGCAGAAGACTCGTTGCCCTGGCATAGAGGATCTGATCAGAGCCTTGGCTGGCTGGAGGGGTGTTTGCTCCCCGCGGGTATGCCCAGAGATCTACCCCATTGTCTCCAGCCTTTACTGTTCCCATTCGCCTCTACCTCCCCCTTGAACAGCTTCCTCCTTGGGGACCCTCTCCCCCAACTCACTAACTGCCCCTAAGCTCCCCTCTTCCTTATGCTCACCCAACAGCCCAGCTGCCAGGCTACCTCCCAGCGCCATCCCACCCCATTATCTTGACTTTTTCTTTCTAGGTCAGAGGTGACATTGCCACAGGGGTCTGGAATGCAAGGGGAGTTTCTCCAGGGGAATGTTTCTGGGTCATTAACCACACAGTCCTATTCTCCCCCAGGAAGGGGAGCCAAGCAGGCGCCCCAAGTCCTGCAGGGCTCTTAACATTCCTGGAGCAGCTTGGTGGGAGAGTCTGGCCCAAAGGACAAAGGGTTGGAACCACTGGCCTTTTCCTGGAAGGAGTGGAAGGGATGGTAGGGGCTGGGCGCAGGCCATGACAGGCGGAGGGGCCAGAGCCTCGCCCCCCTGAACCGGCCCTGGAGTCAGTCCAGACGCCTTCGTGCCAGCTCCGGCCCCCACCCCTCAGTCCACATCAGGGTTTGATGGCTGCCAGTGAGCTAGGTAATTGAAACCGAATGCCTGGTGTAGATGCCGCACCAGTGGGCCAGGGGTTCCTGGCTGCCTGCCCCCACGCTCCTGCTCCAAAGTCACAATGGGGAGTGACTGCTCTTGGGGAGGCAGAGCAGAGGGCTCAAGGACTTAAGAGTTAGGTCCGTGCCGCCTCCCGCCTTCCACTTCTGTGGGAGATGTGGATACGCCGGTGAGGAGGAGAGGACCACGCGCCACACGCAGGTGCCTGGAGGCCAGAGAGCAAGCTAGTGCAGACCAGGCCAGCAGGGCCCCTCCGGGGCCTGGCTCGCCACCGTGATGCTGGCTGGCTGCTCGGGACGTCACTTCCTCTGGCCTGACCTCCACAGCTTTTATTTCCTTCTTCTTACAAGACACCTAGGATGTGGCTCCCAGGTCCTGGGAGCCCCAGGATTCCCCAAGCCCCAGGGGCAGCAGGTCGTGTTTTCTGAGAGACTCCCCCTCCCACAAGCACAGCACCCTATTCTGAGTCGCTAGATAGCTCCCCACAAACCCCGCAAGGAGCACCCGAGTGAGGGCCACTCACTCCCAGCCGGAAGGGGCACACGCCTGCCGGCCTGCCACGCTCTGCGCTGTGCCCTGCCTCACCCTGCCTCGCCCCAGCCCTGCTCACCGTCACTCTACGGGCAGCACCCCACACACGCTGGCAGCCCGCCTGTGCACCCAGACGGCACGGACCTGCCCCCTGAAAGCCCACGCTGCCGCGTTTCAGCTAGCACGTCGCCGTGTTCTCACACTCGCACGCACACCACAAAAGCACAGCCCGGGTCACACAGCCAGCTACTTCCAAAGCACATGCTGCCTTTCCAGAGCGCCAGGAAAGGGAGAGGGCCCCTACACCCCACTAGCAGGGTGCACGGCAAGAGCATTGGGAAGGGGGTTCAAGAGGTGCTTGAAAAGCTGCTCTGCCTCCCCTTGGCTTAGGGACCCCACCCGAATCCCAGCCTGCACTCGCCCACTACCCCCCCGCATGCCTTGACCCCCCCCCAGAAGAGAGGCTGGATGAAGGGAAGCCTGCGGCTGAGGTGCCCACCCAGTGTCACTTGGCTGCGACCCGCAGTGGTCCCGGGGGGGGGGTGCGCCAGGCCAGATGGCTGCAGATGCTGCCACCAAGACCCAGAGCTCAGCTCAGACAGCACAGAAGCCAGTGAGATGGAGAGGCCTGGGGGCACCCTCTGGAGAGGACCCCAGAACCCAGGAACCCAGATGGGCTCCCCATGCAGCGGACTCAGAGCACAGGGTCTGCAGGCTGCCCGTGACCAGCCAGCAAGGGCCCCTTATCCAAGAGATCTCAGCGTGCATGTTTGCATGCGCACACACGCGTACACACACACATACATGGGGTGGGGGAGGGGAGGCGTGCTGGGAGCCCACCAGGAACCCAGTCACCCTGTGTGGGCACAAATCCTGGGGTGGCCACTGAGAACTCAGTCTGGTGAGCCCAGGACAGCCAGACCAAAGATGCCCCCACTCTCAAACCCTCGAATAAATCTCAACACACACCTCCCCCCTCGTCAGGAATCTGGGCAGTCAGAGCTGTGGAATGTGCTGGAGAGTTTACCCCCTTTCCCCAACTTCAGAGCAGTTCCTCCCCACACGAGATGAACAAATCAAATCCAGATGCAAACCCAGTCCATCTGATGCCCTAGGAAATGCCCCCGCGCCACACTAGTTGACCCCAGAATAGTTCTGGCCCCCAGGGCTGCCCTCGCTTGTTCTCCCCCTGCAGACAGCCACTGCTGGCTCACTGGGGTCCCAGCAGACAGCACAGTCTTTGGGCACAGGGTGGCCCCCTAGAAAGAGACACTGTGTGGAAGAGACGGACCCTTTGCAGTCTTCTGGCCTGGTAGGACAGCTCTGGGGGCCACATCATTCCTCCCTCTCCCCACCTCTGGGCATCCCTGTCTCTATAAATAAATCAACCAAACACAATTGTTCAGATTTTTGTTTTGTTTTGTTCTCTTTTGTTAAAAAAAAAAAAAAAAAAAGATAAGACATCATGGCCAGCTGGTAGGTCCTTAAGTCTCCTTCCATCCAGTCTGGCCAGAAAATGCCCAGGGGGGGAAGGAGGCCAAGGGGAAGATGGAGATGGAAGGAGAGAGACAGAGCCACAGGCCTGAAGGCGGGGATCTCCACTTCATGACTTTGAGGTGGAGGAGGGAGTCTGAGGCAACCTGGGCCCAGCAGGCACCAGAGGGTGGTGCCACCCTCCGCCACACCCTCCCCCACTCCGTTCTCCTCCCCACCCTGACTGCCCAGAGATGGGCCTTGCTCCCTCCAGCCTCAGTCCTCCGCATCTCCCTCTGGTGCTCTCCCTTCCCCAAAGCAGGTGCTCTGTGGCCAGCCAGCCCCAGGTGGACCTGTCTCTGCAGGCCCTTCCCCTCAGCAGGCCTGAGCTTGGGGGGTGGTCTGGGCCTCCTGACCACGGGGCCATCTGCCACCCAACAGTCTCTACCCTCTGACTAGATCGGGGAGCGGTCAATGGCCAAGTACATGTCTACATTCTTCCTCTGATTCTGGAAATGGGACTTCTCTCACCGGCTTATGCTCACCTCACAGGAACTGGCCCCACATGCCCAAATCAGAGGAAGTTGGAATAAGAGTCCCCAGGGCTGGCATGTAGTATGTGGTCAATACATGTTTTTAGATGAATGAATGAATGAATGAATGAATGAATGAATCCAGGATCGATCTGGGAACACACCAGGCTCCCCATCGCTACTCTCAGACCTCTCAGGCTATCAAAGCCCGAAGAGGACACCCCCAGGCTTTGTTTGGCTCACCCTAAGAGCACACCCATGCGCACACACACTCACACACACACCCAAGGGAAACTCCTGGGCCCAAGGCAGAGTCAAAACTCAGACTCAGGCTCCAGGTCAGCTCTGCAGCCTCGAGGGGATGCGGGTAGCAGGGGGCACTGAGTCCCCTGCCTGCTGGCAGGGCTCATTTGCGGAAGCTGTCAGCCAACTGGTGGCAGTCCAGCTCCCCCTTCGGCTCCAGGCCCCCCGGAAGCTTCACTCCCGTCTTCCGGTCCACACACCAGCACTTGCCACGCTGCCCGTCCAGAGCCGGGTGGCACTGCCAAGACAAGGGTGTGAGAGGTCAGTCCCCAGGCAGCCTGGCCAATCCAGCCCAGCCCCCACCTCAGGCGGCGCTCCAAGACAGCCTCTACAGCCGGAGGCTCTTTGAGCGGGGTCCTCTGCGCTCACTGGAGTAGGGACAACCCGGTCAGGAAGGAGGGGTCCAGAGAGTTGGGGGAAGCAGGCTCTTGAAATGGTCCTGCTGCCCACCTGGAGGGGAGAGAGGGCCCCGGGGGTGCGAAGGAGCCACTAGTGCGAAAGGTGAGGCTTCTGGCCAGAGGCGGCGTGAGTGTGTGTTCTGGCTGCCTGGGATTTCAGAATGGGATGATGGCTAAGAGCAGGCAGGGTGCAGGACTTGCTCTTAAAGTTAGGGAAGAATCAGGGCGAGAACTGCCGTTGAACTGAGAATTATGACTAAAAAGACCTTGGGTGGAGGGAGGCAAGAGCCCAGGTCAGAAACAGAACTGGGATAGAGAGGCCACAGTCGGGGTGACGGAGGGGCTGATGCGCTAGACGCCGGCGGGGGCGGCGGACAGCAGGAAGGCGAGGCTCAGGGTGCGCGCCAGGCTAGAGTGGCGTCGTCTCAAGAGTCACGCAGGACCCGGGGTCAGCAGTGAAGTCACAACTTCCGTGGGATGAACACGGGGGGAAGGAAAATGCACGGAACTGTACAACACCAAGCCGAATCCTTCAGTAACCCTACTCCTGGGGTTAGGGAACTGCTCTGCGCGGGCTTCCTGGCTGGAGCAGACGCCAGGCTGGCCGACGGGCCATGGGAGCCGGAGCGGGGAGCGCAGGGGACTGTGCTTCCTGCTTGATGTTTCTGTGAACCTAAATGGCTAAGAGTCTATTCAATACTTCTAATCAGGGAAACAAGTTTTTAAAATTGAAACCAGGACAAAAATCGATGCTGGGATACAGGTTGGAAACAGCTTTGGCACGGGTTTCCAGGGGGGCACTCGCTGTCCCCCATTTGTTGCATGCCCCCCAACATCCACGAGACACCCTGGAATCCTGTGCCGGCCTCTCTCCTCCTAGCTAGGCCTCTGTTGACCAAACAGTGGCCCACTCCTTGGATTTTTCTGGAGTGTGGAATGGGAGACTCTGTGTGTGTGTGTGTGTGTGTGTGTGTGTGCGCGCGCGCGCACCCACAGAGAATGGAAAAGGAGGTCCAGACCACAGCGCCAGGCCACACCGAGCATGAGGCACCCAGGGCCCTGCCCAGATATGCCACCCTTTCAACAAGGCCGGAGATGACAGGCCAGAGACGAGCTGCAGCTAATTTACTGAACTGCAACCTCCCAGGAGGTTGCTTCTACAGGAATCCATGTTCCAAGGACATGAAGGAGGACAGAGGTTTCTGCACTCGGGCCTTCCTGCACGCCTCCCCCCTGTTTCCACCCCGAGCTCCTATCTCCACATGTCAGACGTGGCTTTATGGCCACCCTGGATGGATCAGGGTTGGCTGTTCTGCTCGGGAGCAGGGGGAAGCACGCTGAGTGTCTCCTCAACAGCTCATGCCCTAAGCCCCCCATTCCCAGATGAAGCCACAGACACTCAGTGAGGAACAACTGCCCGTGGGCCCAGAGTGGGGTGTGGCGGGCTGGTGGGGTGTGCGGGGAGGCAGAGCTGGCAGGATGCTGCATCTAAGCACGGAGGCTGGCTCCAGACATGATGGAAATAGCCCGAGAGGCGGGCAGGCTGCCGCCAGCCGAGAACTCATTCTGACTCCGGGCTGGACTTCACCCCTCCCTCGGCCTCAGCCTCATCTCCAAAGCGGCAAGGTGGGCAACTGAGCTAAGGCTGAGGCTAGCGGGGGCTTTGCTGGGCCTGGGGCGAGGCTGGGGGTGAGGCTGGAGTCGGGACGCCTCCCTTTCCTGAGAGCTCCCTCCTGGACCACCCCGTGGAGAAGCGGGGACCCCTGTGCGGAGGCCAAGCGAGCAGCAGAGATGGAGACCCACCTGCTTGGGGTGGAAGTTGCCGTTGCGGTCACAGTTGGGGATGGGGATGATGTAAAGGTCCTCGTGGGTGCGGCTCTGCGAGGCGGCCAGCCGCTCCAGGGCCCGGTGCAGCTCGCTCTGGCAGGACCCCTGGGGCTGGGAGAGGAGGAAGGAGAGGAAATGCTCGCAGAAGGAAAGAGGCAGGAGGCCCAGGGCCGGCTCGGGCTCGGGCCAGGACTCATGCCCTGAACGGAGGCGCGAGGCCTGGAAGCTGGGGAGGCCTGGAAGCTGGGGAGGCGAGAAGGGAGGGGCTCTAGTTCAGGGGACACCGTCGGGACTTCTGAAGAGCTTCGGAAAAGGAGGGGCGTGAACTGAAGGGACCGTGTGGAGAAAGGGGCTTTGGGGACAGATGACATTATAAAAGTAATGACTTGGCAATCTATCACATCTAGAGCTCAGCAAGGACCTTAGCCAGACCCCGGAGCAGGGGGGCGCAAGGTCCCCGCTGTGGCTAGAGTTAACCCTGTACTGCCCGAGACGGCCTAGGGTGCAGGACCCAAGAGAAGGGCTAGAAACACCGGGAGGCTTGGGGTCACCCCTGTTTACTGGCAGTGGAGAAGTACGTCTAACCGCCACATAATCGGTACCGATGTCTGCGAGCGACAAGCAGGGACGGAGCCTCAAAGAAAGGAATGAGGACTCGGCGGCTCCTGTGACGCATTTAGGGGCAGCTGGCCCTGGTGGGCATCCACCGCTGGTGGGCTGGGCCCCGTGTGGGTGGTGGCGGGGTGCGTGTGCGCCGCTGCCCGTGCGCACGTGGGTCCGGAGGTCTCACCGCAGGCCGCATGTCCTCCCGGGGCACCCCGACGACCTTCATCTTGCCCCCGTTGGCGTTCCGGTCTCGAATTTTGGCAAAGTGCTTCTGCAGACACCTGCGGTCATGGGCGCTGCAGGGGCTGAAGCTGTTGTTGGGGTGGTCGCCTTCGTCCTTGTCTGCAGGCGGGTCAAGACGGGCAGAGGTGAGCACAGCAAAGGACGAGGCCGCCCACAAAGCCAACCTCCAGCCCCCTTCCTTCTCCATCTTGGCCCAGGGGCCTGAGGGGAGGAAGAAATGAAAGCACCCCTCCCAGCACCCGTCTCCCCTCCACTCCCCGAGAGCTCCTCAGGAGAATATTCTTGAAGTCCTTGACTTGTCCCTCACCCCACCCAGGCCAGCCCTCAGATGAGTCACCAGCTGGAGCTCCAGACAGCAGAAGAGTCCCCTGGGCCCTGCAGGGAGGTCTAAGGCTGGGGGGTGGGAGGGGGCCAGTCTTGCTCTCCCTCCACTCAGCTCTTCCAACCATCCCCCCTCCCCCTGCTCTCTCTTCCTGTCTCCTTTCTTGCTCTTTTCGGCGTCTGGCTCAGCCAATCAGGGACCTCCAGGGCTGTTGGCTCTGCTGACCCTCTTCCAAATGGCCAGAACCAGAGTTTCCATGAGTGATGAGAAATCTGGCCCCAAAGTTCTCTCCCCATTGGCCAGACAGGGGTGGGGTAGGAGCAGCTGCATATGCCCGCATGTGAGAGCATGTATGTGTGTGTGTGTGTGTGTGTGTGTACACACGTGTGTGACACCTGGGTGGCCCCAGGACCAAGAGAGCACCCTCACCCACCCTTCAGTATCCCCGAAGCCTCCCATCCTTGGACTTCAGGCCCCAGCCAGAGCCGGGCGCTGGGGACCCAGAGGTGGGGTAGCCAACGTGGCCCAGCACCCTCTCCCTGGGGTCTCCTGAAGACTCATCTGAAAATCCCCTCCTGAGGCCCTGACTGGTGATGCTGCTCCTCTCTCCCTGAGGCAGCTAAAACCAGGACTGCAGGGCTGAGCTGGAGAAAGGGGTTGGGGGACCCCAGGTCACAACCACCTCTGAAATGCTTGGGCTTGGCAGCTCACTGCCGGCCTGAGTGCAAAGCCACTGCCAGCATTCCAGATGTTGGCAGGCAGACAGAAGGTTACATCTGGTTTGCGTCAAATTTTTTTTTCCTGAGGAGTTAGCAGGTTCCTCCATGCATGGCAGTGGTCCCAGAGCTGTCTCTGGGTCAAATGGTATTTTTCCGCCTCGCCAAAGTTAGCTGGGGGGTGGGTGCTCTCTTTCTTCTCCTAGTTCTGGAAGGTGTGGGGGGGATGGGGCAGAGAATATGTAGATAAAGGGAAACCAGACAAGGAGGAATCTAGACCCTCAGGAAGAAATGCAAACATTCTGCACCACGGGTTATGGGTTTAGAAAATCAGTCGAGGATGGGGAGAAGGTTTCGTGATGAGTGGAAGACGGACTTAGAAGAAAAGAATCAAAGGGGGGAGTAAACACAGCAGACGGATAGACCACATCCTCCTGAGTGTAACACCCCAGAAGGGGCCCGGGGAACTTCTGTCTCAGAAATGAGATCAGATTCCTGGGGGCCAAGCAAAGAGTAGACCCTGGAGCAAGATGCCCCCCGCGGGGGCGGGGGGCAGAACAAGGGGCTGATAACTTTCAGAGTCAGGATGTGCCCAGACGCAAAAGAAGAGGGGCCCTGAGCCCACAATTAGGAACCAGAGGGGAAAATCTGGAATTTGGCTCTTCCCTGAAGACTTTCCCAGGGAAACTTTCTGACCAATAGGATCCAAGATGGAGAAAGGAGAGAGAGAGAGGCAGAGAGAAAGAAGCCAAGCTTACTCTGCACAAAGCCAAGAGACTTGTGGAGGGGGCTGGAGCTGGGGACTGCAAAGGGGAAACGGAGGACCTACGAGATTAGAGGCAAATCTTGAAAGCACAGCAAAAAGGGAATCAAAAGCAGCCCAGCCTGCTGAGGAAAGGCCAGGACCTGTCCACCACAGCCCAGGGCGCCCTCGCACCCTGGAAAACCTCGCGGTCTTTCCCTGAGCTTGCTTTCCTCTCATGACCACAAAGGGAGCACCACTTTGCACGGAGACATTGTTGCTCCCGATCAACCTAGAGATCTCTGGAGGGCAAGTTCAATGGCGACGAGACCCTGCAGTGCTGAGTTTTACCCGTCAACTTCACAAATGACTAATGCATGGGGGTCAATTGTGGGTATCTGAAACGTGAATCCCTTCACTTCGGAGATGTCAGTAAGAACAACGGGGTCCCCTCACTGAACCTTGGGGCTGCCCAAGGCCTGGAAAGCCTGAAGGTGCAGCTAGGTTGGTAGGTGCCCACCCCACAGAGCAGGGCTGCCTGGGGAAGGCCACCCCCACTGTGGTCCCCCACTGCCCAGCACGCTCGGCCCTCGATCATGCACAGCTCACAGTGAGACCCGCCAGGCAGGGAGAGAGCTCAGTTACTCTCCCCAGGCCACGCCTACACAGAGCAAGCAGACCACCTCAGCCTGCTCGGACACACTCAGGCTACAACCCCAAAATCACAAACACACAATCACGTGTGCAGACATGCACTCGGCCACCACGCCTGCCTGCACACCCTCGGGCACGCTGACCTGGGCAGACACACCACATGACCCGGGAGGGCACACCACATGCACGCTGGCTTGTTGACTTTCCATTTAATCTGTAACTTTTCCTCACCCAGCCTCGCTTCACTGGCAGATGGGGGACCCACCCCAGAATCCACCCCTAGGCAATGAACTTGGGAGAGTGAGGGTCTTCCGCTTAGCCTGTCTGTCGCCCAAACTGGCAATATGCTTGTTACTTCCCTGATCACACAGAGTTACAGTCACCTGTGCTGCTCTCCCAGGGGGTTCCCTCCAGAAAAACATCTATCCTGGAGGGGTCCCCTCAAAGTGGGAGCCAGAGTCAGACCCAGCCCCTGAAAGGTCCAACCTCCTGACCTGGGAATGGCTTGTTTGGGAGGTGGGGTTTCCAGGGGTGTCAGGTCACCTCCTCCAGCCCTTGGAGCCAGGCTAACCACCCAGCCACCAGGGAGACCGTGGTCTGAGCTCCAGCAAGAGGAAGAGATGGCACCCAGGGGCGGAAGAGGCTTCCCAACCTTGGCACCTCTGGCTGCAGAGTTCATGGTCAAAGGCAGGGAACTTCCTCTTTCTTGCTCCCTGATTTCATTCCCTGGTTTCATTCTCCTTCACCCCAAGCCCTCCCCCATCGAGACAACCAGGGTTAACCTGGGTGGGGATGGGCCAGCCACCCAGTCACAGAAGTTACAGCTTTGATCTGGAGCATCTCTACCTGCCCAGCAAGAAAGAATTTTCCGTCGTCTTCCTCTGGCTCAGACAGGAGGAACCAAGACCACTCGTGCCGTGAACCGGGCCCAGTCCTCAAGGACGAGTTCACGGCGTAGCCCTCAGCACCAGGCACGCTGGGAGCCTCAGATGAAAGAGGCAGAGGACAGCTGGCTCACCCTGCTCCCCTCGCCCCCCACCCCCATGAGCAGCCCAAAATCTACATTCAGCTCCTCTCAGTGGCCCCCAATTGTCCCCTAAAGTCCAAGCTTCAACTTAAATCCTCTTAGCTTCTTCTCCACCGCCATCCTCATCATCGCTCCCAGGTATTGAGCTCCTACTCTACACTGGACACCCCAACCTGTGGGGCAAGTCCTTTTGCCTAGTCCCCATCTTATAGATGAAGAAAGGAAGACACTGGGTGGAGGGGAAGAGAAGTCTCAAGGGCCTCTTCTGTCTTTACATGGAAAGGCACCGATACCTAAACCACCAATAATCCTGGCTTTGCCAATATGAAAGAAAATATGTCAAGCAGCCATGCTTCTCCTCCTCCCCCTCCTAGGGCAGAGAATTTCTGGGAAGGCCGGTTCCCATGACATGACTAGATTCCCAGCACTGAAGCAAGGGGGACAATATTTGCTGCACTGACTAAAAATTAACCCAGTCCGCATGTTCCCTAACCCTGTCCCAGAGGGGCCCAAGGGACAGCTTAGGTACTCCCCCCGCCAAACACTGACCTTCCCGCTGCCCACCCCTCCAGAGTCCAGGAGTCAAGGGTCAACTCCCTGGTGCAGAATCGCGGACTTGTGACGCACGTGTCCCACACCAACCCCGCCTCTGGTGGCCTGGGCAGCGGTGTTACCCCACGGCCTGTTCTGGCAGTGAAAGCAGACAGAAGGGCTGGGAGAGTCGGTGGAAGGGGGCTGGCGGGGGTGGAGGGGGACACACAGAAGGGAAAGACCTGCAGGAGAGTGGAGTGGGGGTAAACAGGACCCAGTGAGGGTAGCAGCGCCCCCCCTCCCACACCACCACCAGTTACCAGCTGAAGTTCACGCCAGGAGGGAAAGGTAGAAGAGCCTGACCCTCTCCAAACTAGTCCCAGACAAGCCTCGGGGCCTAGATACCAGGCTGGGAGGAAAGGGGTCTTCGAATGGGCTGTGTGACCCAGAGGGGAGCTAAAGCACCTTTTGAGGCTGGTTTGCATGAAATCTATAGGACAGTCATAGAGTGTTCATGCCATGCCCCCCCCAAAAGTCCTTGGGGAACAGCTTTCTCTCCACTACAGGATACGATGTTCCCACCTAGTCAGGGAGGGAAGGGCACCCAAGACCCTCTCAAGGGTTCTTCGTGCTGCATTCAGATTGGTGAGAGAGGAAAAGGCTGCTAGCAACGACCCAGAAGGAGCATTTGCCCTGGGCAGAACCCCGTTGCCAGCGGGAGCCAGGAACATTAAGGGAAAGAGCCCCATTATGCCCAGGGATCCGAGGACTTATCCTCGCTGCCAGTCCCATCTGGTGCCAGGGCCCCTCCTCTCCCACCGGCACTGGCATCTCTGCCCCAGGATCAGCGACTTACTCCCCCGGGACTCCCTCCCAGATGTGCCGGACGCCAGCCTGGCATTTCTCTTACATGTTTTATGCTGACCCATCTCTCACTGCCCAGGAGCAGGAAGGGCCGTGGGGCCCAAGGCCAGACCCCCGGGGTCCACCTCCTTCCTGTTTTCCCTGCATCCTGCTCTCCTCCCGCTAACAAGCTGCAGAGGATTGAGGAAGTGAAGCAGCCTGGGACCAGGGCAGGAAGCTGGGGCTGAGTCCCAGCATCCGGACTGCGACAATGGAGGCGGCTTCAAGCACCAGGAAAAGAGACCAGCACAGACAGGGGCACAGGGAGAGGGCACAGGGCCTGGAGGGAGCCAGAAGCCAGAGGCAGAGGTGCAGAAGGCAGAGCCATTCCAAAAGTAAACAGAAAGAGACAGAAACAAAGGCAAAAGAACAGGAGGGAGATTCAGAAAGAGGCTGAGATGAAAGTGAGAGAAGAAACAGAAAACAAGGAGTGAGACAGACTGACAGGGGCAGAAGCTCCAGAGGAAAGGGAAATGCTGATAGTGAAAGCAGCAGTAGGGAAACACAGTAGGGAAGAACAAAAGAATCAGAGAAAGAAGGGCAGAGAGTAGGAGAGAGTCTAAGGAGAGTGGAGGGGAGACGGGAGGGGAGACGGAAGGGGGACGGCCTTTCGGGCAAAGGGCCTTCTAAGCCTCTCCCAGCTCCTAGCCACTACCCCCATCTCACACCCAGGTTTCACAGCTCTCAGCTTGAAGACAAGACTTGCTTCTTCTACCACCTCAAATAACACCTGTCAGGAGAAAGGGGCGGGGGTGCCTGAGAGCCAGGGCAGGAGGGTGCAGGCTTGGCAGCAAGCCCTCTGCCCCCAGTCCACCACCCCTCCACCCCCCACCAAGACAAAAACACAAGCAGCTAGGTGAGCTGGCGCTGGCTTTGGGGAAGGGCCCCTCCGAGGCCCCTCACCACCAAAACCCCTCTCTAGGCATCTCCCACTCCACCTGCCTCAATGCCAACAGGCCAAGCCCTGGCTTCTCTGACCCCTGCAGGTTCACCTGTGGCCAGGAGAGGGAAGGTCCCTGGGTCAAGAACATAAGCCCCCCATACCACATCCTCATTCTTCGGTCATCTGACCCTAGATGTCTCATTCTGGGGGGAGAGAGGGTCGGGCTGGACCAAGTCACTTAATTTTCCACTCTGGCACCAGCAGCCAGGACTACCATGGAGGCTTCTGCTCCCAAATGGGCACTCCTGAGAGGTTTGAGAAGGAAGGACGGGGCAGAGTCCTCCTCCATGGTGGCAACAGGCTGCCAGGGATTGGATAGCAGTTTCCTGGGCTGAGCCTGTCCCACGGCAGCGGGGCAGCGGGGCCTTGTCACGTACCTGCCTTCTCTGCTCGCAGGGGATTTTCAGGGGCCTCTTGGGCAGTCGGAATGGGACCGGGGTTCTGGGAGGGGAATACAAGAGGAAGGACGTGCGAGGAGGGGCACCTTACCAGAGGGCTGCTGCAGACTTTCCTGGATGGCCTCGATCTCCGCCAGCTCCATGCACACGCCTTGCCCGTGCATCAGCGTGTGCAGGGGCTTCTCCACCCCCCGGGGCGGGTAGCAGCGCAGGCCCGAGCCGCAGCGGGGAGTGTACACCCCGCAGGGCATCCCTTTGGCCAGGGCGCAAGTGGCGCAACAGCCGCAGCCGGGCTCCCGCACCAGCTCCTCGCAGCCCACGGGGGGGCGGCAGCGCGCCAGCTTCTCCTCGGAGCAGGGCGGGCAGTGGATGGCCTCGTCGCCCAGGCTCGGCCCGGGCCCGGCGGCCAGCAGCAGCGCGGCCACGAGGCACAGGGGCAGCATGACCGGGCGAGGAAGGGGCGC